CCCCCCCCCCCCCCCCGATTTCCTGATTGGTCAAAAAGCTGGCTCCATGCTCCCTCGTCACCTGATGAGCCAGCTTCATGGCCAATGACTGCGTAATGACTTGCTGCCCGTCTTCCTGATTGGTCGGGAAGCTGGTCAATCAGGAAGCCAGGTGGCGAGTCAATACCCGCCCCCCTCCCCCCAGCTTTCTGATTGGCCAGAAAGCCGGTGCCATGCTTCAATGTTACCTGGTGACAAGGGAGCATGGAGACAGCTTCCTGGCTAATCAGAAAGCCTGAAAGTGAGTCATTACACTCCACCCGGCTTCCTGTTTGGCCGGGAAGCTAGCTCCATGCTCCCTCATCACTAGGGAGCATGGAGCTGGCTGACCGGTCAATCAGGAAGCCGGGTGGAGTGTAATGACTCACCGCCCAGTTTCCTGGTTGGTCAGGAAGCTGGCTAATAAGGAAGCCAGGCGGCGAGTCATTACCTGCTCCCCAGCTTCCTGATTGAACAGAAAGCCGGCTCCATGCTTCCATGTCACTTGGAAGCAGTGGGATATCCAAATGTTTTGAGAAAGCGTGCATGCTGCATGACAAATGCCCATTGTTCGGATACATTTTAATTGTCGTTAGCCTTTGTACAAGCTGTCAATGAAGGAAATATTATGCCATGAGCGTGCTTAGAATTGACATTTCTTGGCAATGACCTTTTCTATAGCTGCCAGGGAAAGAGAGTGAAGTGGAACATTATAACGTCACTCGAATGACAGCTCTGAGTCTGCTGGGGCTACTGACCTCACATCCAAGATGACGGCACCCATCAGCAGTTTCCTGGGATTTGAAGGTCTGCACAAGGGAGGCTTTCACAGGTGAGTAACATGCCTAAAATATGCTACATGCATGTATAATCGTATGGGAAGACGGATGTTGAAATGATTGGCCTGATGTGCTCTTAAAGTGTATGTCAAAACATATGCCGTACATGTCCGCATGCACATTTCTCTATGTTGTATGTTTTTAAAGATCCTTTAAGTACATAAACTACAATTTGACCTGCTAGAAGTACACTTGGCTCTTCACGCCCTGTGGTGTTTATGTTGAGGAGATGGGAGAGTTTTAGTAGTTTAGCCAAAGAAAACTGAACAGGGCTGATACCACTCAGTGTGTTGTCAGCCCTCCCCAGTTTTATTTGGCTAAACTACTAAAACTCTCCCATCTCCTCAACATAAACACTTATTCTCTAGTCCCAAGATCAGAACTTTTGGGGGAAAACCACTTTCCGAGATAACAAAGGAGATATCCACAGGACAGATCTTAATTTCTGACATCATCAACAGGTATTTTTTACCGTTTAGTAGGGATGCACCAATACCGATACTAGTATCGGTATCGATGCAGAGTATTTGGGTGAATACTCTAACTCGTTGCACACTGCCCGGCTTCCTGATTGTGATGAGAGAGCATGGAGCCGGCTTCCCGGCCAATCAGGAAGCCGGGCAGCGTGTAATGACTCCCTTCCCGGCTTCCTAATTGGCCGGGAAGCCAGCTTAAAGCTCCCTAGTCATCTCACGACGAGGGAGCATGGAGCCGGCTTCCTGGCCAATCAGGAAGCAAGGCGCCGCATCATTACACGGCGCCCGGCTTCCTGATTGGCCAGAAAGCCGGCTCAATGCTTTCTCGTCACACAGTGACAAGAAGCATAGGGACAGCTTCCCTGCTAATTGGGAAGCCAGGTGGCAAGTCATTACACGCCGCCTGGCTTCCTTAATGGGACTTCCGATATCGGTATTCGGAAACAAAAAAAACGGTACTCGATACCGGTATCGGTGCATCCCAACCGTATAGATAACATGAAACACGTTCAATGGTATATTTAACAGACCAAAAGGGAGCGAATATAATGTTCATCCTTGGGGTTTACATACATTTTAATCTAGCTGTATCATATTTTGCTTTGCCTTCAAAACATATTTGCAGGATCCTTGCAGTATCTGTACATAGGAAAACACGTCACTTTGATCCATTTAACGAAAGAGAATGTTGGACCTTCTGACTTCCTCGTAGCAGCAAAAGAATCATCTACACCAGTGTTTTTCAACCTTTTTTGTGCAGAGGCACACTTTTTTCATGAAAAAAATCACGAGGCACACCACCATTAGAAAATGTTAAAAAAATTTACCTCTGTGCCTATATTGACTATATATAAAGTAATTCTCTTGAATAGGAATCAAATAAACACAAAGAAATTATTTTATAATTACTTTATTATGAAATAATAAAGTATTTTATAATTGTTCATATTTCTGTTCAATCCATGACTTAACTTCACACTTCACACAAATATGTTTTAAATTCAAACTGTAGCACTGACGTAGCCCTGGTTAAAGTAGGGTTCAGTGGGGTCTCACTAGTCTTGGTTAAACCCCACAGAGCCCTGGTGAGACCCTACCAAGCCCTGCTTTAACCAGGGCTCTGTAGGGTCTCACCAGAGCTATGTGGGGGTCTCACCAGCCTGGTTAGACCCCTCAGAGCCCTGGTGAGATCCCACACTGCCCTGGTTAAACCCGGACTCTGTAGGGTCTCACCAGCACCAGGGCTCCGTAGGGTCTCACCGGGGCTCTATGGGGTCCCACCATGGCTATGTGCGATTTCACCAGCCTGGTGAGAACCCTCAGGGCCCTGGGAGGAGCCTATAGAGCCCTGGCAAGATCCCACAGAGCCCTGGTCTCACCACACTCCGGGGGGAAACTTCCCTTCGTTAGCCGACAGAGCCACTCGGGGAAGGGGGGAGGAGTCCGGTGACGTCGATGTCCGTGACGTCACCGGATCTCCGACGGAAGACCCGGAAGCCGGCGGAGAGGTGAGTAACTTTGATCGATCAAAATAATTTTGATCGATCAAAGAAATTAACGATTTATTGACGGCACACCAGAAAACATCTCACGGCACACTAGTGTGCCGCGGCACAGTGGTTGAAAAACACTGATCTACACGTTGGTCTCATCTAATATAAGAAATCTCTCCTGTACTTCACAAGGTGCTGCCATTGCCAAGGTCAATAGAATATTCCTTGTTACCTAATCTGCAGTCACAAATATACCATTATAAAGCTATTCTTGCCTTAAGGGGGATTTCTAAACGTCTGGTGTGATTTACACACACACTCACACTATATATATATGGTCTGATCTGAGGTATGAAGGTGCAGGAATTGGGGCTGATCTGAGGTGTGAAGGTGCAGGAATTGGGGTTGATCTGAGGTTTGAAGGTGCAGGAATTGGGGCTGATCTGAGGTGTGAAGGTGCAGGAATTGGGGCTGATCTGAGGTGTGAAGGTGCAGGAATTGGGTCTGATCTGAGGGCTGAAGGTACAAGAATTGGGGATGATCTGAGGTGTGAAGGTGCAGGAATTGGGACTGATCTGAGGTGTGAAGATGCAGGAATTGGGGATGATCTGAGGTGTGAAGGTGCAGGAATTGGGTCTGATCTGAGGTGTGAAGGTGCAGGAATTGGGGCTGATCTGAGGTATGAAGGTGCAGGAATTGGGTCTGATCTGAGGTATGAAGATGCAGGAATTGGGGATGATCTGAGGTGTGAAGGTGCAGGAATTGGGGCTGATCTGAGGTGTGAAGGTGCAGGAATTGGGTCTGATCTGAGGGCTGAAGGTACAAGAATTGGGGATGATCTGAGGTGTGAAGGTGCAGGAATTGGGACTGATCTGAGGTGTGAAGATGCAGGAATTGGGGATGATCTGAGGTGTGAAGGTGCAGGAATTGGGTCTGATCTGAGGTGTGAAGGTGCAGGAATTGGGTCTGATCTGAGGTGTGATGGATCAGGAATTGGGACTGATCTGAGGTGTAAAGGTGCAGGAATTGGGGATGACATGAGATGTGAAGCTGTTATCCAATGCTTGTAAATTATGTAAAAACCATTGCTGACCCCTGAAGTATTTCATGACAAAAGGATTCTCAGAGCACTATGGGATTTCTAGAGGCAGCACAACAGAAGCTGTTTCCTTTCAGAATCTATTACTTTCTCTGACTGAAACCATGAAGAGAGCCATACGGAAGGAGAGAAGCACTTCTCTGACTGATTCACTTGTGTGTGTGTAAAATTCTGCTTGAGATATTGAGCCCCGTAAACAAGATTATTTTTCCCAACAGGAAGAAACTGAAAAACTTGAAAAGGAACCTAAAGCTCCACCTGCTGGCTGGGTATAAATGACTACTAAACATTCACAGGCAATATTTCATAATTACCTGGCTAGCATAAAAAGGATAAAATATTAACATTTTAGTCCTGATCATAATAAAGAACAATACAAGAAGTGCTCCGAAAAACAACCAACTCACCTCATCATCAGCCTGCTCAAGGCGAGCAACGGCGTACCGTCGCACAGTAGGGTTTGTGAAGTGGGATGACAGAAGTTCAAGAGAGTCCTCCACATCCATTGGCTTCCACTTCCCCAGCAGTTCCAGGGCTTGTTTGGCCTCTTGCGGGAGATCCCAGTTGACACATTTCAGGAATTTTGTCAAAGCCTAAAAAAAAGAAAAAAGAAGAACTCAGAAAGATATTACTAGAACATTTCTACCCAAGTGACTATTTTTGGCTTGTTTTTTCAGGTGTCTAGTCACAAGATATTGAACATGCGCCTGAACTTCTGTGCTGTGAGACAAAGTGACCAGAAATAGGTAAACCTTTTGGGTCTGGCAAAACAAATAAAGCTAATCTCTGACCATCTGTATTTATATGATATTTAGAGGTGCGCCGAAATGGGAACTTTAAAACCGAAACGAAACCGCAATAAAAAAAATTGTCAGGCCGAAACCGATACCGAAAATGTTTTTTATTTTAATTTTTTCAAATTTTTTTATGTTTTATTCTTATTTATTTTTTATAAACTTTTTAATTTTTTTTATATTTATTTATGAATTCATTTTTTATTAAATATTTTTATTTTTTACATTACTTTTTTAAACAGACCCCTGATATTCCGCTTTTAAAATAGAAAAAGAGATTGAGGACACAGGGTCTATCTCTTTTTCTGCAGCCCCTGTTATCAATGAACAGGAATCCTCTATACTGAGTGTTCCTGTTCATTGATAACATGAGGACATTGTGTGTTTACTATAACTACAATTATGAATGAACAGGAGGTGATATAGATGACTTCCCATTCATTCATAATTGAGGATATAGTACACATACCATATCCTCAATTATGTACAAACACTCAGCGATCTCTGATTGCTGAGTGTTTGCACTTGCTCTCCTCTCTGACACGCTGTTACAGGAGGCTGATCGAGCAATGTATGGAGGAGATCTCAGGCTCCTGTGACAGCGCTGTCTCCGCCACACGCCGCTCTGCCGATCTGTGACAGGAGGCTGAGCGGGGTGGGAGGAGAGACGCCGGCCGCTCACAGCGCTCTCTTCCCGTAGCGCTTGGCCGGCTGTCACTTTCTCTCCTCCCCGCTGGGACACAGAACAGCGCCCAGCGTGGAGGAAAGAAACTTGGGATGCGCCGATGTATCGGCAGGAAAATGGCACTTTCGGCATTATGCCAAAAGTGCCATTTTCCGCCGATATGTTTCGGCGGACGACATATCAGGGCATCCCTAATAATAGTTTGATATTTCCATAACTCCTCCCAATAGCCAACCCACAGCTTCGATTAGGGCTCTTAAGAAGAGGAGTATTGAGTCAGAGTGCTGTGATGTTTTCTGGAAGCGATGTACAGAACTCTGCCGGCACTTCCCACCAGCCATGATCTGTCCTTATTGCATAAAGCACAGAGACCCAGTGATGAGGTCACTGGGGTCTAAAATAGAAGTATGTAGTGAAAACGGAAAGGTTTTATTTAAGTCAATAGCATTCTGATGAGGAGGGGAAGGAAGAAGAAAGGGGAAAATAAAACAACTTAAGCAGATGAACTCTTTCGCTGCCACCGGCGTAAGGCTTACGGTGGAACACAATTGCTTCCAGCTGGCCACGTCAGTATGCCTTACATCGGTGGCTTTTACTGTGCTGCCATAAGCTCATGGTCGCTGCAGCGACCATGAACTTATACCAGAACATTTCCGCCGACGGTCCCCTATAAAATAATGGCTAACAAGGCGCTGATGACAGCTATTAACAAAAAATCCGGGTGCCCCGCCATCACAGCCGCCGCCATCTGCAGCCTCTTCTCCCCGCCCGAGCCTCTCCAGGCTGGGATCTATTTTTCCACGGATCCCTGCTGCTTTCCCCTGCTTGAGAAGAACAGCGTGCATGGCCGAGTGAGTCATATCTGTGATATTAACCGATCCTCTGTACAGAGCAAACACTGGAGTGATCAGCTGAAAATATATGGTTTGTGGGGTCTTTTTAGCAACGCAGCAATAGAATATCAAAACAATGGGAAACATTGCAGAAAATGGTCTGGCCATCTGAGGTGTAAAGCGTTCCGGAGGGCTTGGATTAAACTTCAGCTTTCATGACATTATGGGGTTAATATGTGAAGAAATATCCACCCCTCCTCCCATGCCAAGGTCCTAGGTGTCATCCTTGAGTCGGACCTCACCTTTCTTCCCCACATCCAATCACTATCCAAATCCTGCCCCCTTCACCTTCGTAACATCTCACCAATGAAACCGCAAAATTACTCATCCACTCCCCTGTTATATCTCGTCTTGTCTATTGCAACTCCCTCCTCATTGGCCTTCCACTACACAGGCTCCTCCCCCCTTCAGTCTATCATGAATGCAGCTGCCAGACTCATTCACCTAACCAACTGCTCAGTGTCTGCAACCCCCCTCTGCCGATCCCTGCACTGGCTTCCACTCGCCCAAAGGATAAAATATTAACAAATTGCTTACAATGCCATCCACAACTCTGCCCCCGGATATATCTCAGACCTGGTCTCAAAGTATCACCCTAAGCACCGGCTCCACTCATCCCAAGACCTCCTGCTTTCCAGCTCCCTTGTCAACTCCTCCCATGCTCGCCTCCAGGACTTATGTAGAGTGTCTCCCATCCTCTGGAACTCTTTACCCCAACCTGTCCGTCTGTCTCCCACCTTGACTGCCTTTAGGCATTCCCTAAAGACTCATCCCTTCAGGGAAACCTATCCCACCTCAACCTAACCGCTCAACTATCACGTTCTCAAACAATTCATCCCCACACAGCTACCTGCTCCTGAATCACTTTTCCCTCCCTTTTAGATTGTAAGCCCTCAGGGGCAGGGCCATCCTTAGCATCTTGTCTTGAATTGTATTGTATTGTGATTGTAATGTCTTCCTTATATTGTAAGGTGCTGCGTAAATTGTTGGCGCTATATAAATCCTGTATAATAATAATAATAATTAATTCTTGTGCTTCTGAGTTTAGATTTTTACACTTGAGTTCCAGTTTCTAGAGTTAAAGTCACCTTTTCTTGGCTTGTGAGGTAGGATCTGAACTTCCACACCAAATCCTGCTCCTCTGATGTCAGCTGCTTGGTTGGAGGATAACTGACAATGATCTGTAAAAAAAAAAAAACAATGCATCACTTCCCATTAGGATTTAGCAAAGGCAAATTCCTGGTCTGGTCTGCAGCAGCGTGCACCGCTATTAATGGAGAACTCCGGTCAGATAGAACAACACAAATCAATGTAACTCAGGATTCCTTATCTCATGTACTTTCTATTTAACAAAACTGACATTCCTGAAGCAGCTGAGACTTCTGCAGGAGAGACCGCAACCTAAATGACTTCTCTGTTCCAGTGCTGAAAGGGATTTTTAATGCATAAAAGAGAGATTGGACTGGAAATGCAAATTTATAGGACAATTCAGGAGTCTGGAACACGGACGAAAAAGAGGCAGAAATATTTTTGTGTGCACCATCGTCCTAGCCGGTGGCCAGTGTCAGTCTTTTAAATTCCAACTGAGGGCTAGTTCACACCAGCACCAGTGCGTTCCGGCCCGATTCTGGACGGAATGCACTGGATCGCATCCCAGCCGGCTCACTGTGTTTTGGGGAGGGACGGAGCGTGGCGGTGCATTGAAGTCACAGCCACGCTGTTACGGTACTAGCCCACAGGCAAGCAGGTGACACGGGATCCCCCAGGGAGTGGAATCTAAGGGCCAGCCGATGTTCTGCCAGGGACCCCTCACGGGAGTTTGGACTTAGCTGCGTGCTGACCGCAGGTCACGACCCCTAGGTTCACCCTGCCTGTGTGGAGAGTACCCGAAGACACAGTGCAAGCAGAGATGGATGGATGGAGCAAATGGAGATCCAGATAACGAGCCAAGGTCAGGGCAGGCAGCACACAAAGGTAATCAGGAGCAAAAGCCGAGCCGGTACACAAGAGATCAGTCCATGAGAAGTCAGGTTAGGAATAATTGCACGGAAGGGGCTCAGGAACAAGTGCTGCTCAAGTAACCAGAAGCTGGTCTCAGAGGGATTTAAATAGCGAGACAGATAGGAGGCAGGACAGGAAGTAGCAGGGAGGAAGGTAAATTAACCCTCAGGTGAAGAGGGCGACACTCATAGCTGCTAACACAGTGCAGTAAGAGGAGAGCACATGCTAATGGAAACAAAGGTGCCAGCAGATCCACAGCAGCAAACATGTAAAACGAATGCAAAGCAGAGAAGCGCAGATCAGCTCTGCAGCTGATCTGTGACACACACCCTCCGGCCGCAGTGCGATCGGCCCCACCGGAACACGTGGCACTTCAAAGCCTGCATTTCGGTCTGCTGCGGTAAGAAGAAATTGTGCATGCAGCATTTTTTCGGAGCGGCCGATCGCACTGCTGAGCCAATTACCTCAATGCACTGTCACGCCACCTCCTGCCCCAAAACAAAGCGAGGCGGCCGGAGTGCAATCCAGTACGTTCCGGCCAAAATTGGGCCGGAACACACTGGGGCTGGTGTGAACTAGCCCTTAGGTGTGAAGTGTGACAGGTTGGCTCCTCCGTCTCGCAGAGACACAGGTCCCTATCTATACAGAGTGGCTTTGTGGTTAGCATTCTCAGGGTCCTCGATTTGAATCCTGGCCTAGACACTATCTGCATGGAGTTATCATTTTTTCTCTGCTTCCATGGGTTCCCTCTGGTTTTTCTCGCACCTTTCTGCATTTTTTTCACTGTGTACTGGATTCCACGGCAGGCCACTGCGCTGCTGGATGGATTTTACACATTGTATACGAACAATAAAATAAAAAAAAAAAAGTGAACAGTGACAGCTGTGCGGATGTAGCAGCTTTAGATAAAACTCTTAGGGCCCGATCACAGTAGCCAACACCGGGACCGGCAACAGCACGCCGCCTTCCAGGACCTCGTCCAGTCCTGTGAGTACTCCTCCGCCAGCCCGGTACTGTCTGCCGCCGGGACTATCCTGTACTAACACTGCATCATCCCCCAAAAAATAAGACCTAGTGTCTTATTACGTGGGAAAAATAATATAAGACAGTGTCTTATTTTCGGGGAAACACGGTATTATGTTGTGACAGCTCCGGCAGTGTGCGTTGTATCACACTGAACTGGTTCACTTCATTAGGATTCTAGCTCAGACACTATCTGCGTGGAGCTCATTTTTTCCTACTTGAGATACCGGAGGGGAGCACCTACCTACTTATAGACCAATATTTCAACCAGACGTTCCTGTGGTGCTCTAATCCACCCAACTGCTAGTAATGTGATGAACTAGGAACCTATGAAGCTTTTCAATTTATAAGGCCAGAGAACAGTTCCCAAACACGCCCCCTATAGGTGCCTTGATGTCTCTCGCATACAGAAAGCATCATGTATCAGCACTAAAATTCCTAAGAGTCACCAAATCCTCCCTCCGAAGTTTGAGTGTCATTAGCAGTAACAGTAAGAGAGGACGTTAACGAGACCCTGTCACCAACGTAACACAATTTGCAGGTAGAAGCACAGAAAAATTAAGTCATTTAAATGCTTACCTGCAGCTTTTTCCTTTCCGTAAATTATTTTTTAATTCACTTGCAATGTACTTCTGAACTTGCTAGAAAAATGAGTACCCCAGGAACAGTCAATTGACTAGCACAGCCCCCTCCTCCTTGTATGTCAAAGCCCTCTCCTCTTCTGAGAGTGTCTAATTACTGGCTGGCCCAGCTTATCCACCCTTTGCCTTACCTCTAATGACTGTGCTGGCCCAGCCCCTCCACCCCTTGCTTCCCCTCCCTACATAACCTTTGATGTAGCTGCTAGGAGAGGAGGGAAGGGGAAATCTATAGATCAGAGGTAGGCAATCTCAGCATGCCAGCTGTTGTGGAATTACAATTGCTGAGATGCACTGCAAGGCCCTCATTGCCACAGCCATAATGAGATTTGTAGTTTCCCCACACCTGGAGTGCTGACGTTACCTACTGCGCTATAGAGGGTCACATCAGTGACAGTTTTGAGGCTGGTGGGGCTGCTGACATCACTTTCAAGATGGCGGCACTCAGCAGCAGTCTCAAGGCTTTTTGATGTCTACACAAGGGAGGTTTTTGTAGGTAAATAACATGATGAAAATATGTTCAGTGCATATGTACTCTTGATTGAAGATTGTTATTGAAACAAAAGGTCTGCCTACAGAATCTCCTTCCAATCAAGACATTATACTTTTAGCTACATCAGGAAGAGGGCTGGTATGTCGTCTACGTACCCTGTAAAAAGCTCTGGAAACTTCCATGGCAATGCACAGTGTGCAACATTGATATATTTGTTGTAGGCACAGAGAATTGTAAAGGGAAGAATGAAACATCGACGTGACTTACATTGAGCTGATCCCTGGTGGCAGCGTTTGGCTTCAAGTCATGGTCTGACGGGCCGCTTCTCAGGCTCCTGGCAAGTTTGTGATGTTTGCTCTCCACTAGGTTTTCCTAGAAGATAAAATGAGGAATGTTTGTAAGAAAGTGATATTGAGGAAAGCCGGGAAGAACCGTCTGCGTCCGAACCGGCCACACATAATGACTTCAAGATAGCAACCAACCCTTCTGTGAAACAAATGTGTCTGAGGGAGCAAAGTCCTCTAACACTCATATACATGTAGAAAATGTGACAAAAAATAAATCTGCAGACAAAATCAAAACACTGCGCCGGCAGATTTTGGTTCAAGAGAGTATTAATCAATGATGTTCAAGAGTGCGGGGCGATAATGGGGCAGCTCTCACCAGGTTCAGAATAACCTCAACACTGCAAGACAAGACACAGAGAGCGCCTCCATCGCATAAAAACTTTTTAATAAACAAATAAAAAAATGGTATAAAAGGTACTCACAAAGGACGAATAAAAACAGGCATAAAAGGGTCAGAACGAAAGGTGCATATCCACCGGCTGTTTGTCTTCCCTGGTAGTGAAGTGGTTTACGCGTTTCAGAGGTCACGCCTCCTTCCTCAGAACCAATTGGGAAGGAGGCAATTGGTTCTGAGGATTGGTGCATCCCTAGTCACCAGCTGATCTTTCCCAATTACTAACTTATCATGCCCTGTTCTGCACTGTGTGGAGGTGGCCATCTAGATAGAGGCAAGGCTTTGCTTCCTCATGTCAGAACCTCCAGCAAGGAGAACAGTGAGCAGCTCAGTAGTGACATCACCAAATCCAACTTCAAATCCCCTGAGACTAGCAGTCAGAGGCAGCAGTGGCTGAGATCTCACACTGCAGATATGCAGCTATGAGTCTGTAGGCACACTCACATATCAGGAAGTATGTTTCCTATAACATGGTAAATGTTCACTTTTTGTGTACAGGTCCACTATAAAGGGTAATGGGAACTTACCATAGACATCTGAGGGTCAGGCACTCGCACAATCTCCGCACTGCTGCTGATTGGACTGGACTCATCCCCATCCTGCAAGATATTGTCGGTTAAAGCAGATTCCAAATTCCAAGAATATCTTCATTAATAAATACAGTATACAAAAAACAATTCACTTTTATGACTCCATTATATTCCGTTTACATCTGAGATCATTTACTCCCAAAAATGTTTGCCGTCGTAGTGTCTGCTCATTCTCTCTTAATGGCACACTACCTAAAGTCATCAGGCTTCTACTCATCAGATACACTATATTGCCAAAAGTATTGGGACACCCTCCATATCATTGGATTCAGGTATTCAGTGACATTTACTTGCTACTAAATATTCCGCGGTCACCTGTTTTATAACAAAGTGGAAGCAACTGGGAACAACAGCAACTCAGCCACAAAGTGGTAGGCCACGTAAAATGACAGAGCGGGGTCAGCGCATGCTGAAGCGCACAGTGCGCAGAAGTCGCCAACTGTCTGCAGAGTCAATAGCTACAGACCTCCAAACTTCATGTGGCCTTCAGTTTGGCACAACAACAGTGCGTAGAGAGCTTCATGGAATGGGTTTCAATGGCCGAGCAGCTGCATCCAAGCCTTACATCACCAAGTGCAATGCAAAGCGTGGGATGCCGTGGTGTAAAGCACGCCGCCACTGGACACTGAAGTGGAGACGTGTTCTCTGGAGTGACGAATCACACTTATCTGTCTGGCAATCCGATGGACGTGTCTGGGTTTGGCAGTTGCCAGGAGAACAATACTTGCCTGACTGCATTGTGCCAAGTGTAAAGTTTGGTGGAGGGGGGATTATGGTGTGGGGTTGTTTTTTCAGGGGTTAGGCTTGGCCCCTTAGTTAGTGAAGGGAACTCTTAAGGCATCAGCACACCAAGACATTTTGGACAATTTCATGATCCCAACTTTGTGGGAACAGTTTCTGGACGGTCCCTTACTGTTCCAACATGACTGCCCACAAATGTGCACAAAGCAAGGTCCATAAAGACATGGATGGGGGAGTTTGGGGTGGAGGAACTTGACTGGCCTGCACAGAGTCCTGACCTCAACCCGATAGAACACCTTTGGGATGAATTAGAGCGGAGACTGCGAGCCTGGCCTTCTCCTCCAACATCAGTACCTGACCTCACAAATGGTCCAACATTCCCATAGACACACTCCTAAACCTTGTGGATGCCTTCCCAGAAGAGTTAATGCTGTTATAGCCGCAATAGGCTGAGCCAACCCAATACTGAACCCTACGGACTAAGACTGGGATGCCATTAAAGTTCATGTGCGTGTAAAGGCGTCCCAATACTTTTGGCAATATAGTGTATTTTCTGGATAACTTTTATTCTGCAGGTCAGAGATTACAAACTCGGCTGAAACTGAATTACCTCCATTTATATTGTACAGCGCGGTGCAGACTGCTGGCGCTATATAAATCCTGTATAGTAATAAAAGAACCAGACAGTGATGGGCATTTCTGAGACTTTGACACTCAAATGTTATAGAAATTTAGCCTTACATCTCAGGGAGAACTGTGTGTGCTGCCATGTATGTGTATTCTCTCCCTGTCAGAGCACAACTGTCAATTGAGTGTCAGGCTGTACGCCCCCCTCTCCCCCTCATGAGATTACAGATGAGATTTCGCAGCAATGCTCTGCTATTGACAAGGCAATCCCAGTGTGCATTGCTTTGGCAAACTGAAGTCATTTGCATTTTTCAAAACAGGAAGTGAATGCTCTCCAAGTGTAAGTATTTCACAATCACAGCATTTTACACCTGACACGTCTATGTTATTATTAATCATCATACACAGAGGGATGCATTGGTAGAATTAGATTTTTGAGTGTAAAAGTTCCTCTTTAGCCCTTGCAGTGGGGGGTAGCCCCACTGCAAGGGTTAACAACATCTTCCCTGGAGTTCTTCTTCAACCACCAAACACACCTCAGCTTCAGTTTGGGCCAGCACAGTCATTAGAGGTAAGGCAAAGGGTGGATAAGCTGGGCCAGCCAGTAATTAGACACTCTCAGAAGAGGAGAGGGCTTTGACATACAAGGAGGAGGGGGCTGTGCTAGTCAATTGACTGTTCCTGGGGTACTCATTTTTCTAGCAAGTTCAGAAGTACATTGCAAGTGAATTAAAAAATAATTTACGGAAAGGAAAAAGCTGCAGGTAAGCATTTAAATGACTTAATTTTTCTGTGCTTCTATCACGAAGACCAATCGTGATATGGACGTGGACAGGGCTTGACTTTCTGAGCTTAAGTCAGGATTTCCATCATTTATGGGCCTAGCTCTAGAAGCTATACAAAAGGTAAACCCGGGCCCTTCTAGGTGCCCACTTTTCAGCGCTGCCAGCGGCTTAAAAAAATGTAACATCAGTGGAGATGCGCTTTAAAGCCAATAAAAAAAAAAAAGTCAAAACTTCAATTTCTGGAGAAAAAGAGTTTCAAAATGTGAACGGTACAGCGAGCGGCGCGAGATATCCGAGCAGCCGAGGCGCTGGGTCAGTGGCGCCTCATTTTTATGCTGAGCTCAGAGATAAAGTGGGATGCAATATAATGTAGGTCAGATGTTCCCGTGTCCTATCTCAATATAATCGCTAATAAGATTCTGCACAAGCGCGGAGGAAAAAGATGATAACCGCCGGCACGAGGACACATTCACACTTTGACGACGGCCACCAAACAATTTCAATTAACAGGAAAGTTTTTCATTCTATTTTTTTCAATACCCTTTAAAGCAAATATGTCATGAGAGAGACACACGGGCCGGCGATGCGGAATGTCTGAAAATGCATTGGAAATGCCTGGAGAAACGCATCTGGACTCAATACACTACTAAGGGGATGATGTAAAATGTTCCGCCCAGTTGGGCACATGCAGCTCTATGCTTCTCGGCTCAATCTAGTGGCAGGCATGCCGTTCTATGCTCCTTGGCTCCATCTAGTGACAGGCATGCCTTTCTATGCTCCTTGGCTAAATCTAGTGGCAGGCATGTCGTTCTATGCTCCTTGGCTCCATCTAGTGACAGGCATGCCTTTCTATGCTCCTTGGCTTCATCTAGAGACATGCATGCAGTCTATGCTCCTTGGCTCCATCTTGTGGCAGGCATGCCGTTCTATGCACCTTGGCTCCATCTAGTGGCAGGCATGTCGCTTTATGCTCCTCGGTTCCATCTTGTGGCAGGCATGTCGCTCTATGCTCCTCGGTTCCATCTAGTGGCAGGCATGTCGCTCTATGCTCCTTGGCTCCATCTTGTGGCAGGCATGCCATTCTATGCTCCTTGGCTCCATCTAGAGTACCGCAGCCGGGACGGATCCCAGCATTACTGTCGAGATCCACCCAGCTACGTGAATGACAGCTGGCTCTGCCTATCTAGAGGCAGAGCTAGCTGTGCCCGCCCCCTCCCCTGTCCATTCCTCCACTCAGCACTGGAGGATCGGAGAGGGGAATCCCTGCGGGCAGCAGTGACTGACAGTCACCGCTCTCTACAGTGAGACGTTCAAGAAGTGAGCGGATCGGCGGGCATGTTTCTGCTCACTTCCCAATCGATAGAGCCGACCTGCGACAGCTTCTTTGTCACAGGTCGGCTCTAACTATGAGGAAGAGTGTAAATCACTCACCTCATAGATCTCATTTAATAATCGGCTAACTAATCGATTTTGAACATAATCGTTAAGGGAGGAGTCACTGCTCTGACTCATTCACTTCTATATAAATTCCAGCTTGAGCTATTGTGCTCTATAAAACAAAAAAAACTGTTTACAAGGTACAGAAACAGGAAAACATCAAACAAAAATCTGATTTTACCCAAGTGAAAAATGAATCCTGACTGTAATCAGTAAAGACAGAAATGATGTTTAAATTTCTTATTGCATTCCCTCTAAACGTTGCCTCTCGGGAAAACAACTCTAAAGTTGACCGGCATGAATCTTCTTCACTTTCCCTTTCAGCCATTAAACTGCAATTCCCCATTAATAACAAGAAAAATAAATGTATTACCACCGGTGTGTTGTCATTAATAAGCTGTGCGCCGCGGCTCTCAGCGGAAAGCCATTCATGCCCCGCTGCCCATGATTAGTGACTGTGTGACGCTGCTCCCTAATCAGTGAGAACACTGCAGGGTATTCCATTATATCGGAGATTTATAGGAGGAAAGTAATGAGAGCCTGGCGTGTGACAATGAACATCAGTACAACCAGAATAGATAAACCCAGCATATTGAAAGCTTATATCGGAGACAAATGGGGAGATGATGGAAGTGTCAAAAGAAGGTGAAGAAGTGTTTTGAAATGTTCATTTATAAGTTCCTTCATCAAATTAAAGTGAGCTGGTTCCTTATTGGAATTCTCTAGTGCTGCTCTGTGTATCTGGGTATTTCTTGCACTTGCCATCAGACGCTCACCAACCCTCTAAGCCCAAATGTCTCCCATCGCTACAATGAGAAAGTTAGTAGCTGGAGTACCAGAGCCGACTTCTATGGATTGTCCAACCAAAAGGGCATGAATAGCGAGTTCATCTTCTACTCTACGATCTCTGCTTCATCAGCTTCTTTGGGGGTCCCCAGGTGACATAAGGGGTCTTAGAGACCACTAATGTCTCCATAAAGAGGACCTGTCAGTGTGCCTGTGCTATCACATAGGGGGATTGTTATCCCCCTATGTGATAGCAATAACAATAAGTGAAAAAAAAAAAAACAATAAGTGAAAAAAAAAACAAAAAACATTAAAACAAAAAAATAAGTCACATATAAAGAAATTTAAAAAAAAAAATGTTTAAGTCCCAAAAATGCCAATTCAGCTTCTAAACAACCTAATGATGCAGAATCAGTGTGCATCAAAAGCAGTGTGTAACCAGAGACACAGTTTTAAAAACTGTTGGGCACTGCCATCTTGCTTCACCCAGCATAGAGTATGTGAGGCCAGGCTGTGAGCCATAACCAGCACACCAAAAAGACACCTCTGCCGCTATTGTGACTTCATGTGTCGGTGCTCTTTCCATATGTCAAGGACCAGGGGAATGGTTCAAAGTGGAGATGAGGGATTAGC